GAGTTTTTAATGATGTTGATCAGTATGATGATCGTGCGAATGCGGTTTATCAGGATTGTATAAATGAATATGTTCATGAAATGGTGGAAAAGCTTTTTCAAATAATTTTTCTGTTATAAGACAAGCAGCTAAAGCCACCATAGCATAACGAAAACCAAAGAAAGCAGTACGTAAACTAATACGCCATGATGGATAAGCACCAGCTTTTGGATCATATAACCATACTTGATTTCGAATCCAAGGATCACGAAGACCTTTATTCGATAATTTTGAACGATGATTTTCTAATTCAGGTATACCATCGACTTTATATGAACGCCAATCTGAAAATAAATACAATAAAATTGAATATTTAAAAAAATAATTTATAGTTTCATTTTTTTTACCAGGGATACGAAATTCACAAGAATTAGGAAAACGATCTGGATAGGCAGCTACTCCTTTTCCAATGTCACCATGTGCTGAATGATGTCCACCAGCTGCATGGGCTTTACCAGAGCCAGCTACCATTTTTAATCAATCTGAAAAAAAAACAGAACATTAAAGACCACGCACACGATGTTGGTTATTGTATACAAGTAGATGGATGGCTAGCTAGTGAACAATTTATTATGATTGGTTAATATTTCAACCATATTTAATAGTTAGTCAAATTTTATAAAATAATAATTTAGTATATCATGCAGTAGGTATTATAAAAAATATATTATTGCAAAGAAAATAATATTACATTTATATACATAGTTTTAATAGAGGACGCTAGATGATAAGTTTTGGATATTTCATATTGTGCATAAATGGTTTTCCATTAAGATATAAACAAGAATAAAGACCGTTGAAATATCAATACTGAAATGTATAAGTATCAGTGATATCGAGCATGATTAATTTAATAAAAATGTGCTGTATTTTTTTTTTCTATTGGATTTAGTCTTCCATCTTTAAATATATTTTTTAAAAAAATCATTGTCATATCCATTGTAACTCTTTCAAAAAGAAAATGTCTTATTGAACTATATTTCAGACAAGACATTTCGAAATTTTCTTTTTCTATTAAACAGATATATCATCAAGTAAACTAACAAAACAGTCGTGTGATTTGAAAGAGAAATGTCTATTTAAAATTAGAATCTTCTTGTTGAACGATTTTTTATGTATACAATCATTAAAATGGCAGTCATGAAAATAGGAATAGACAAATTCGATAAAAAATAAGTTACCTAGGAGCACCAACAAGTGAATATATCTCGACATAAATTATCATATTTTTCAACTATGGTAGTCTGTCTTTTCGATGGTTTTTTTTTGCTAGTATTCTAATTAGTAGCTGCATCTATTCACATCATAGGAACTATTCGATTGATCAGTCATGCCGAGCAACATACATTTGAATAATTATACAAATAAATGCACTATATACCAAGATTTCACCTTGACCTACTTAGTGCTAAATAACTTTAAAGTTTCAGATCTATAGCCTTTAATATAGATGATAAACTGTAAAAATACTAAGATGCACTATTGAATTAATTTTTCAATTATGTATGCTGATATTTATAAATCAAAATAACTTGTCGAAATAAAAAGAAACTCGTATCAACTGATAAATATTTGTATGTTTGATGATCATCCTGATCTGTGCTGATAGTAATCTATCATTCGTTGATATAAAGAATCATTAAATTTATTCTATTTCTTTTTAACACTGTGTTTGCATTGTTCAATATTATTGTATTCCCATCCTCATAAGTTCTATTTTAACATACTCCAGATTTTTTTTCTATACGTTAAACGTCGGTTGCTTGTGAAACACAATTTTCTGCTTCAATCTGATTAATAAAAACATTTCTAATGGAATCTAAAGTTATGCAAACCTTTTATTTAGAAACTGGATTATCTTAACAAATTACATTTTCTAAATCACCTAATTTTTTCCCTGTTTTTTTTTGTCCTATCCGTAATTTTCATATTTCTCCAATTGGCAGGCGTATAAATGAAAGTATGTTCGTGAAGGAAACAATTTTTGTTTTGATATGTATTTCATAAAGCGAACCTGAAATCAATAATTTTCCCAATACTTTAGTATTGCATATTATCAGTTCCAGTAATTGAAAAAATAATACAATAATGCATAATAGCATCTGTACTAAAAGCGATAGGCTTTATATTTTGAAGTGACTTAGTACGTATCATAATCTGCCCAAGCTTTAACAAGTTTACTTTTGTTGAATACAAGAACGACGAATTTTAAAATCGTTTTAGAATTTCTAAGACACTGCTTATATACCATTGAAAAATTAAGCTCCATTTGTACTAGTAAAAACATTATTACAAATTCTCTACATACAACAGACGAAATGATAATGTTTCTTTAACAGTGTTGCACTTTGGTATCTTTTTTTTATTTGTAAATTATTCAGCAAAGTAGAAAGTTTTCTACATCAATAGTTAATAAACTTTTAGGATCCTATCTTAATAATATGCAGAAAAATATAAAAGAAAGAATAACAAGAAATGAGCGATTTGAAAAAGGATGGTGTTTCACATCATTGAAAAGAGAGAATTATTACTTTTACTTTTAGTTTATTAAAATGGCCAATGCGCGAACGCAAGTGGCCGCGGAACAAATTATCCACTCGAGAAAGCCCGATGTGGACTTTTCGCAGGCGTCAACGGGGGCGGTGTGCAATGCCCGCGCCTCGACCTGGAGCATTCACGTTCATGATCGTGAATGCATCCGTGGCAGGTAAGTATGCTTGTTGAATTGTCTTCTTCATTCTTATATAGTCATATGCTCTGCAGAAATTGCACAGTTGATTAAAACAACGAAGGAAGAAAGAAAAAAAAAAGAAAAGCAGAACGAAAGAAAAGGGTCGTGAGATGATATGAGTCAAACTCGAGTCCATGAGTCCATGTTATACTTTTTTTTTTATATGTGACAGAATTATCAATAGGTGTCGTCAATTGACAATGAAGTATTTTCAAGGAATTTTATAAATAATCGATTTCTTTGCCATTTAGTGGAGTATGATTCAAGAAAACTGTTATGTAAAAGTAATTTCTCATAAAAAATGTATATTATATTTGTTTCAACCGAGCAGTCTCTTATGAAGAGCGATATATAAAAAGATTTAATGATCTATTTTATGCTTTGTTCTTGTTCTGCTCTGTCATTTTCAAGTATTCCAGTTGTTCATGAAACATAAGAATGTTATGGAAGTACAGTTGCAAGAGATATCGCAAAAACTTTTTATAAATTGTGATAAACTCGCAATGTGACATTGCTAACAAACTTCAACGATCGTGCGCTTTAATATGATTATTTCAGAACTTTTTCTTCATAGAGGAAAAACAAAAGATACTATCTGAAAAGGAAAATTTCAATAATTTATCTTATGCATTGTTATGAGATCACAATAAGATGTTTTATTTGAATTTTAATAATGTTTTCAACTTGAATTGCATTAGTGTTTTCCATATCAAGCACATCAAGATAAAATGTGTAGTGCTTTACGGCATCTCAGATGATTTGCTACGATAACCGTATACATTTTGATTAGGATGGATGTGAAGTGAGCAATGAGAAGACCTTCATTTTTACTCACGCTTACTCCTTCAGAGAGAATTTCAACTGACGGAGCATGTGAAAGTGAATTGTATTCTGGTCGTATGGTCCCATATTATTTGCAAAATCAAATCGGCAAAGCATATCGACATGTTATTCATAAAAAACTCGGAGGATATTATGAAATTTTCCATCAAAAAGAATGTATCCTTCTTTATTTGCCATCCAACAAAGAGCAATATATAAGATAATCATTAATTTTCCAACTATATCGATTTCTGAAAGACATCAAATAAATTTTCTGCTTGTTACATTTTTTTCTATTTACCATAAATAGACAAGAAAAGATGTTGAAGCCATATAAGTACAAATAAATATTATTTGAAGAAGAGTCGTTTCTGAATTTCCAATCTCAAAAACTATCCTTGAATCTGTTCAAGACTGATTATTTATGACTTATCTACTTAGTGTTGACTAAAAGTTTTGAAAACATTAAATATATTTAAATAAATGTACAAAGTTATCGCCATAATTATTTATACAACAGTTTCCTCCTTTCTGATAATTTGTCAAACATTTTTATAAAACTCTTCTTCTGGAATATTTCTAACTATATTGGAAAGTGCACAACCCAATGATTTTTCATTTTGTTTGATTAGTTAAATTACGTTTGATATAATCATTTAACAAAAAAATCACTTGGTGCAAGACTTGACGATAACAATGAATACGACATGATATTGCTACCTTGTTATGCTAAATAATTAATAATATCTGGATGAGCTTGATGTTGATCATTATTGTGAAATAATTTTATATTTTTGACACTTGATGACATTCTTTGTTTCCATATTTTACGGATAGTAGACTTGAGGCAATTTTCAATATAATAATTGCGAACTATAATCTTGCTCTTATCTATATTTTGTACGAGAACAGGATCATTTAATTTACAAAATACAGAAAACAAAATTTCTATTTCAAATCTACTTTGACGAACAATAGTCATTGGTGATTCTTCTTCATCAATTCAGCTTGCATTAGTTGACTTCCGCCCAATTTATCTATGATAAATCCATGTTTCATCACCTGTAATAATATTGCCTAATTACTATGATACATCATGAAATTTCGTCAAATTGTCACGATAAAATTTAACCTGTTATTGCTTTTGTTCATCATTGAGTTGATGAGACATCCAACGTGATGTAACTTTTCTCAACTTTAGACAATCGTGTAAGCTCTCTCAGAGATTGTGGTTATTGTACCACACACTATGTGTCTGCATTTCTAAAACCTTTGGTCAGATCTAAGTATTTTTATGTATTGATTCATATTTTTATATCTAGCAAATTTTATTCTTTTATCAAAGTTTGAAAGAAAAACTGATGGCATTATAATATTAAAAAAAAAAAGAAATTAAATAATTTTCAGTCTACAAATTGATCCGTTCACCTTTCACAAGTCGGCTTTTAAGTTTCCATACATCCTATATTAAAATAAATTTTCATCGATCGATTTCTACATAAGAACTTACATGAAAACCTGCATCTTCAATTCCAGTTCTTTTTCGAAAAATAGCTGTGATTTCTTTAGAAATAAAATCTTGTACAGTATTATCACATTCAACATATTCACTTGCTGAATCAGTATAGTGACATGAAATAGCCTAAATAGAAAAAAAAAACTAAAATAAAAATTCTTTCTTTAGTAAATTTTTTTTTACTTTTCGAAAACCAGACGATCTATTCATTCCACTACCATGAACAAGTAATGGATGAAAAAAGACAGTATCACCTAAGAAATAAAAAAAAATGAATATCAAATAATTAAAAATAATAATTATAAGTTTTACCTGTTTCCATTTCTAAATGTATTCGTTCGTCACTTGGATTAAATTTTTGTATTCCATGGTACATTTTATTGACTCCACCCTATATATATAACTAAAAATTACATCAAATAAAATTCATTCTTTACTTTCCAATCAGGATATCCATGTGGTAGAAGTTCACCTGTATGTGTTCCAGGTAATACAACAAGACATCCATTTTGACGATTAACTTTTTCCATTGCTGTCCATGCACAAATAATACGATTAACTGGTCGAAATGGAAAATAATAAAGATCTTGATGAAGTGGATGTCGAGATGATTGAGTTCCTGGATCAGGTGGTTTATTAATTAACTAAACAAAAATATTTTTTGATATAGAAAAAAACAAAAACTATTATGAATTTTATTACCATTGTATGCATAGCCATTATATTTGGACCAGTAAAATTTTCCACATATTCAACAATTTCAGGTAAACAACAATATTTAAAAAGTTCATCATCTAATGTAAAATCTTGAATTTTTGTTATTGCTTTTTCACCATGAGAAAATTCTGATTTAGCAATTGCAACATCTTTCATAACAGTCATACCTAAAACTTTTACTTTTCCTGTACATACATCTTGAAAACGTTTACTAAGAAAAAAAAACGAAAGTCAAAGAATAATCAATTATTTTTGAATTAATTTGTGTCTTTTTTTTTGTTTTACCGAAAAATTTCAAGTGTTTCAGGTTTAACTAAATTACGAATAACAAGAAAACCATTTTTTTCATAAGATTGACGTTGTTCATTTGTTAAATTTCCATTTGGTAAAGTAAAACGAAATTCTGATTGTCGCGTATTATCAACTGTTGGTTTCTATGATAAAGAAATTAAATAGAACTTTTATATTCATAGATTAAGAAATATTTAACATACACATTGTGAATAAAAACGAATATGATCATTGATTATTTCTAATCGTTGTGCTAATATTGTAGAGAATAATTGTCGAGCAAAAGGAAATGATGATTTTGATAATAAACTCATTTCGTTTTGTTCTTTCTTATCTAATTGAAAACATGATCAAAATATGTTTTGAAAATAGATAAAATTTAAAGAGTTTGATAAAATAATAATAATAATAATAATAATAATATATTTTTCAAAAAACTTGATAAAATAAAATAAACATTAGTGAGATAACGTGTTTCGACTTTAGAGTTTGCCAATGAAAGGAACACAAAGTCTTTTTCATCGAAAAATATCCACCAATTAGCGACCTCTAGACAATACAATCACATAATTGATAGACTCTATCAAAAAGTTTCGACAATCATTTGAATTATTAGTCGAATACCTATTTTTTTTTGCTATATCAGATTGTTCCACACATTTACAGTAGTGAACAAAAGTCTCCGCTTCAGCCGATCTTGACCACTGTATGTGCTGGAGATCTGAAAATTTGTGTACACGTACATCATCAAGAAAGTAGATTATTGACATTGCGACGCCGTTATTGTTTAATTATAAAAAGAGTTATGATAGACGCCATTTATTTTTTGCTCCGAGCCTTATAACCTTTAAAAAAAAGGACTGTCTACAATATTTCGCACTGTTCCATACTAAAAATATGACTAATTCTTGACATTTTTACATGTAGCTGAAGTCTCGGCTACGGTCTTTCTTCATCCAAAAGATAAATTTATGTGCTCGAATATTGATATTTCTAGATCCTTGGAACTAAAAATATTATCACCTATGTTCCATTTCTCTTTAGTGTAAGATTCACTTCTAAAACTTCTAGGTAATAATCCCTAATTGTAAAGGATATTTCTCAAAAAGCTTGAACTCGTTTCGTTAAACTATCGCTGAGTTATTGATCTCCAAACGGCAGTAGATGGTTTCTCTCTATAACATTAATCACAACAAAATAAACGATTAATGAACTTCAATGAAATGAGTAATGTAGATAGCTGGAACATAGCATTACATATAGAGCAATGAGTTTGGCATAATTCCTATCGAGTTTCTTATTATGAAAGTCATTAAATAACATAATGAAAAATGGTCATTCCTTAACCATGAACAATGAATGATTCATTGTAGCTTCTGTTATATTTATTTTATTGTCCAAAAGAGAGAACGATCATATTTTAATTCCATCAATAATTATAAAATAAGTATCTCAATATTCGTCTTTTAGTTCTATGCAGTCCTTCAACCTACTTTTCTGACAACCAAATATGAAGAAACAACAGAATTAAATGTATTTACTTTCAAGTAAAATTTTTCATTTGGAATAAACAATCAGATTTGAAGTAAATAATAAATGAAATTAGATATTTTGTATTGTCAACATTATTTTTATTAAATTTATTGATGAAAAAATTTTAGATGGTTTTTCATCTGACTTTAGTCAGTAACGATTACAGTTTTATATTATATTAGTTCAAATTAATATTATGACTCTCTGTATTAACTTGAAAATATTATCTTGTTTTTCTATTGAAACATAAACAAGAATGATTTAATAGGCAGATTTTAACAACTTGTAGAAATAGAACATCTGCGAAGTGATAGAAGACTTTTCTTCTACAATAGTCTAATTATTTTAGTTTCAAAATATAAATTCCAAAACTAAGATTATATATATGATTTCTTAGATGTTGAAGTTCAATAATATTTTCCATTTCAACAGGTTTTCTCGTAGAATAAAACTTAGAAATGATAGGCCTTAGAAATGTTCTAATAACGAATAATACGAGTTCATTGATCATTTTTGAATTTTTTGAATTTATTTCAAAAAATTTGTGAATATTTCGAATCGATCTTCAGTCTTTAGTCGACTTTCCCTTAGCAACTCTCTCGAAGAGTTCTTGCCGTGAGTTCGCGAGGAGTTAAGCAGAAAATGAAAAACTTTCTAGCAAAATTTCTGTCGAAAGTAGCAAAAAACCAAGTAAAAAATG